CATAATTACGGCAAATTCATTCAACATAATTGATGCAACTGTGAATTGAAATTGAAACTCTTATTTGATAGAGAAAAGTCTGTTGTTGTTGTTATTTTTTTATTAGTATCACGCCTGATTGTAAGCTATGATGCGACCTACGGTGGAATACGCCTAACCCAAGCTATTGACTTGGGCCTTGAAGACAACCTTAGGGGAAAGCTGGTGCCACTTCAAAATAATTCCTCTCCTTCACAGTTCTGATGATAGAACTGGAGATGAATCGCTTCGTGCTTCAAATGATTTAGTTATACTTAACAGATTTATTGAAACAGTTTTTTTTATAAAAAAAATTTGGAATTAAAATTCAACGCTTAAACATTAAGGTCATTGTATGTTAGCAATAACAGAATTAAAAGTAACATCTTTACAAGCCACAACACGCTTTTCTTTCGCTATTAACAAATGTACTTCAGAGACTATCAACCCCAGTACAAAATATGCAAAAAAGCCTTTCTTCCCAAGTTATATGGAGATCTTCATTCCCCCAACCGGTAACAGACTCCCAATACCAATGGAACGAACCCTAAACAGCACGATTTGTTTTCCCTCCTCACGTACAATACGTCTTCGCCTCTATATCAATTTAATCGTACAAATTGAAATTCAAAGAGCAGTCTGCGAATCAATTACCAATGGGAGATCGGTAGCATTCAAATAATTCGATGATAGAAATGTCCTTAAAGAATGTGCGTGTGGAGAAATGTGAACCGATATATTAAGACGCCTTGTGATAGGAAGCTTGGAAGTGACGGGAATCTACAAGTCTTTTACCGTAATAAAAAAAATTGTATTGGTGTTGTTTAGGTCTTAGCTGAGCCTGTTATAAAGCCTGTTTTTTATATTTTTATTATAAAAAAACAATGAACAAATTAACGAACTATCATATAATTAAAGAAATCGACTTTACAGTACAAAGCGCGCGAAACAGTTTTCTTCATATGACAGCTCCGATCTAGTGATGGGGCGAGCGCGTTAAAATAGTGTAGGACTAGTGTTGCCCCGTCCTCGCTTAGTAAGAGTTTATTCCTATCAATATTATATATTTATGCACACATGATTAGGCGAGCTTAAGATGAGCTTAATACCGTACTTATAGCTTTTTCTCCCAGTCAACTTTAGAATTTATATTAAACATAAAAAAAAACATTGTTCGTGTTTAAATTGTAAATTATGTTACTAGAGCTAATCCGATTAATTAAGTTAATGTAGGTGTACACAATTAATATAGAATCGACACTAAAATTAGGTATACTTAGTTGAAAAAGGCTTACTAAAAACCAAAAGAAGACGTCTCGGTCGTATACTATTAATGTTTAAATAATGTAGTTATAATTTCACTGATCTTAAATATAAAAATGAATCGCGAAATGTGTTGGTAAGCGCATAAATCAGCAACGCCTGGGCCAATTCTGCCAATTCTTTTTTGTTATGTTCGTTATTGTAAGGAGAAGGTTTTTACGAAAGAAAACTTTGGAAAAATAAAGTGAATTACTGGAATCAAAAACTCTTTCGGTGCCATGGCCGTTCGCTTGCGAAACAAATGACTGACACCAAAATAAAAATTTTGTTTAACAACATTTTTTGAACACTTATAGAATTTTAAAGTACCTATAGAATGACTATTATAATAATAGTCTGTTGTACAGATGTGTCATTTATGCTTAGTATAGACCGTACCACCACAAACATCATTAGCATTTTAGCACAAAATCAAAAACTTCTCCCCTTTTCCTCCAAAAAAAAAACAATATCTAAACAGTTTACCCAACACGAAAAGTGATTAAAAACAATAACTGGAATGCCAATAGACATTTTTATACCATCATAAATTTGACAAAGTAAACCTTAGCATAATTTACGACGGCAATATGATACTAAGTGATAGAGAGATAAAATTTATTTTCCTTTGCGTCACTCGATCTTATTACGATATAAAAACGGGAATCAAACGATATAAGACCATTATTATGAGGCAAGGCAGGCAAACTCAACTCGGTTTGCCTGCGGGGTGATGTTGAATTGGACTAAAAAGTTTGGTCTTTTACTTTTAATACGTAGGATTGTGTGAATAAGAACCATGTAAGCACACGAGGTAATTATTATTTTGTAAAGCGCCTGGGAAAAAAGTTATAGCAACAAAACTTATAATTGATGCAAAAAAATATCCTTTATATTTTCGAGAATCCTTAGCTAAAACAAAACATGTTTGAAATAACTACCTAAAATACTATTATATGTGATAAACAAAATAAAATCGAAAAATTAACCTAAAAATTTGCAAATTAAATTGCATACATAATTATGCATACAGCTACCAAATTTCTTGTAGACATGTAACAGGCGCCTCAGAAAAAAAATGTCAAACCAATCTCTAAGTAAGTATATTAAAACATAAAACCAATACATAAAACTATCAATAAAAATTCAATTTGAATACGAGTAGGCACTAACATAAAAACCTTACTACGATACCCTCAACGAATCAAGGTGTTGCCATCCAGAAAATTATGCAAAGAGGTCTTTTTGGTCACTTTTTTTTGCAAAAAGGGAACATTTTTATGATGAAGACGCATCAATATTTTATGTGACATCACGTCAGGGTTATATAGAATCAATCATTCCGATCGCAAGAGGCACTTTCTATTCAAATAACGTATTTTATCGTATTTTTCCCTGAATTGATGCTTGAATTACATCTATATTTGACGTTGAATTTTTAGGTTATGTGTTTTTTTTATAGGTAATAGGAGTTCCCTAATGTGTTTGCTTTAGATTGGTTTTGTCATGATTGTAGCACTAAGGGATAGGTCGGCAAATGAGGAGATAACCTAATGATAAGCAATCTGCACCGCCCAATGCCATTTGTGGATAGGATTTAAGTTTGTAAGGATGAGTTTTGCAGATTGAGGATTAGGAGGAGGAAGCCCTCCGGTAACCTCACTCTTACGGCCGTAGTTTTCCAAACTATAGGTACCTACAGGTTTTTATTGTTTTTAACTTAAAATTGGTAAAGCCTAAAGATTTGAAAGGAGATTTAATTTTAAGTTCATTTATTTATATTTAATTATAAAAACTTTATTAAACACTTTATTAAAAAAAATACAAAAAGCAGGCTTACAGCTATAGAGTGTAGGTACAATGGGCGGTCTTATAATACAGGGTGATTTATTCGACACAACCTTAGGATGGATATTTAGTCATTTGCTTAGTAATAATTAACACTAAAAGACACCCTATCAAATCAAGACATTCTATTTCCACTTGCATTTTAAAAATACATAAGTTCTTCTTTCGTTCTCACTATCTAATTGGATCTTTTCAGTACCAAAAAGCAATTTTTCTCAATAAATCGACAAGCCACTGACAAACAGTAGTTCTTAACGACATAAAACCTTGAAAATTTAATTTCTTTCGACCTATTATCTGGTGCAAATTGTGACGGATGGCTGTGAGTGGCCCATTCAAGTCCAACTAAATAGTTATCACGAATAATTGATCTAGGAGACTCCCGAGGGAATGACACATAGCATTTTAACATGCGAGGTTGATTTTAAGTTGATTTTGAGCTAAAAAGAATTATATTGTCTAGAGTTTTTTAAATGGAGACATGTTTAGATGTAGGTATCTAATGCATATTTTACTTTTCATAAACTAGTTGACCCGGCAAACTACATACCTACTGCCTAACAGTCAATAAACACTTTTTACTCACATTTTAATCCTTCTGGACTTCCACGAATATTTCAAGACCAATCTTAACCAAATCGATTCAGCCATTTGCGAGTTTTAGCGAGACTAACGAACAACAATTCATTATTATATATAAGAAGATAGGTAAATAGTTACTTAGGTATCGCATTCAACTATTACATATATAGAACTATCTTTAATATCTACATTATTGCTGCAATGTTATGTGTTTTGATAAATCTTTCGTATCATATGTAATCTAGGAATCCGATTGCGCTTGTGATACAGACAGCAAAACGCATTTAAGATTATTGCTATTATATTTTTAAAAGGCTGTCGCCTTTTACGTTCCTTTTCTTATCCATTCAATAATGTGCCACTTAAGGAATAAGTTTACAACTACATTAAAATTGGTTATATTTTTATTCGTTCTGTATGTACCTAACTAATAAGGCTAACAAACATCGCGTGCCTCCTGCCATCTAGCGGCAACTAACGAAGATTTACTATAAGCGGGAGATTTTGCTTGCCCACCGCAATTCGCCAACATTGATTTGTAGCCGGCAGATGCTGGTTTTATAGCCAATTAAAAAGCCATTACGTTGAAAAAATAATTGTTGTTTATGGAGTATTTTTATCTCTAAATTTATGTAGACAGAATTTATATGCGGACGGATAGTCGAGCAGAAGGTACCTACCTATTTAAACAAAAACTCTAATTCGATATTTAATTATCTCTCTAACGACAATTAATACATTATTATTATAATCCACGTGTAACATATTGTGCAACCATAATCGTGCCATGTAGCGAGAGTTTTTCAAAACAAATAAATAAAGTCCTGTCAAAAAAATCATAGCAATTCGACGTTACATGGTTTGCATAGTTTGAGATTATTATTACAAAGTTTTGTGTTAACACAAATTCTTTTTCAAATTAAAAAAAATAGATGATCTCTTAATAATTGAATGTGCACTTATAATAAATGAAACCTTTATCTTCTTTTCCTCTTCTTGGCTTTCTCGACAAACCAAATATGATTTTGTTTCACAAACAAAAACTTAAAAAGCTGCATAATCTCTACCTTTTATGTACAGATATTTTGAGTAGTTATCCTAAAAACTAATCGAATGACATTCTAGCGGTGAAGGAAAACATCATCGCGAGAAAATCTATTTCTAATAAAATTATTAGCATGAGCAAGCGATTAATGCTCAAACATTCTCCGTGTCAGAAGAGGCCTTTGCTCACCAGTGTGCACTTGTAGGCTGATTTGTGATTTGTTGCAATTGGGTAGTTTCCAGGGTCAAAAATTAATTAATTCGATGTTTCAATACAATAAAATACTTTTATTCATCAATCGATCGATACACTAAGTTTTAGATTTTTTTAGCTTATTATAAAGAAATAAATAAGCTATTTGACGCAAAAATGTTATGACGTTCGTCATAACTCAGTTTTTCATAAAATTTTCATAGAAAAGTATCGTTTTTGACGTTTGGATAAAAGTGTTGAATTTGATTACTTAGTTGGAAAGTACCGTATTAAAATTGCTATTTATTTTTCCCGACGGCACCTAGATAGGACGCACAAGGTGGATACTGTCAAATCGATTGAAACTTAGACAATTGAGCGTTACCTTTCATCACTAAGGAACCTCATGTTCCATAACTATATCATGAAGACTGTAGGTATACCTGTAGGTATGTGTGTATATATATTCTGCATTTAGCTGCAGTTCTCCCTATGCAAACACATCAAACGTTATAGGCTATAAGGCACAAGGAGTTTCCATTTTACGACTACGGCCTATGGGTTTTGTGAGGACTTTTCTTGGTGGCGATTCCAAGGGTCTTTTGAAGTAAAATAATGTGGCATTATACCTTGTTTTGTGTGGTGTGTGTCGTGGTGACCGGAAGTTCAAGTGCCAACTTGTCATAGAGGGCTGGTTTGAAACATGGCAAATACCAATAAGACTGTTCCGGGTCTGGGTGTGTTGTGCATGTGAATTGTATGTTTGTAAACGCACCTACGACACAGGAGAAAATCGTAGTGTGGGGCAACGTTTTTAATAAAAAAAAAAAACTTTTTAAGTGTGGGAGAGCCAAGCTTCGGCACGAATGGGTCGGCTCGACCGGAGTACCGACGTGAAACAACCCACAGCGTTGTGTTTCACCTTGTGAGTGAGGTTACCGGAGGCCCAATCCCTCCCCCTCCCCTATCCCTTCCCGATCTTTCTATCCCCAACCCCTATCCGCAAAAGGCCGGCGACGCACTCGTAACTCCTTTGGTGTTGCGGGTGTCCATGGGCGGCGCCGATTGCTAACCTTCAGGTAATCCGTCTACTCGTTTGCCGACTTATACCATAAAAAAATATTATGTGACAACGCCATAGAGAAATTATTCTGAACAATTACTCTATGGGCGACGCACATAGACCAACGAAAATGGAAGCGTCACAAGTTCTACTTTACGCAAGTGAAGTTTTCGCGCTATTAAACCCTTGGGCAGTACCCTGGCAGGCCTGATCACCTCGCCTGGTCGGAGGGAACTCCTTTTCCGGTCAAAGGAACTTTACTCCCTGTTCTATAAATTTTGTTTTAGCCGCCACCTACATACGGTTGAGGAAAACTACTAAAGCGTTGACTTAATAATGTCAAAATAAAAGTTTGAAATCGTCAATCCAAACCTTCCCATTCGTTCTTTAACATTACCTATACTGCGCTCACATCCGTAATCCCGGCTGGTTATTATTTAATCAAGGGCCTGTAGTCTTTTTTACACAAACAAAACAAAATAGTTTATCTCGACATCGTATCGGCCCCGTATCGCCACCAATAAATTCCTCCCATCAACACTAACCGCTCGATAATTATCGGCAATACGACATTGACGACACCCACGGGCGCCGTACGACAACTCCGACACGACACGAACTCCGATGCGATGTAAATTTATTTTTATTTTCTTTCTCAACCGTCGGCGGCCATTACCAGAATTGCTTTCGATTTACTTACCAATTTCATGTTAAATAAATTGAAGTGGATATTCGTATTCGAGAATATTAAGTTATCTTTTGATCTTAGCTCGGTGAAACTTTTAACTTGAAATTCTCTTGTAAGTTGACGTCGGTTGAAATGTGAGTCATTTTGAAATTGATTTGAACGATAGGTTTGCTACTTTGTAAGTATATGTGTAATGTTTTTGGTTAAACGATTACTGAGGAGTAAGGTAAATAATGTTTGAGCGGGTCTTCAGTCGGCGAAGAGAAGCTCGCCGCCCGACCAGAACCAGACCCGAGTGTACGGCGGGTAGACTTCCGCGTTCCTCAAAGAGCCAATAGACCACCACACACACACAGACAATGACGATATATAACCACTATCCTCTTCGACCACAGGTGGGCCCAACATCGCCAAGCATATGCTTGCAACTTGGGTGCAACTTGGGCGGGAGATAAAATTGATGATTTTCCCTGGTACCTAGTTTTAATATAATATTTTATTGGATGGTAATTTTAAGTTATTATGCGATCATTACCTATCGTACCGCTAAATATTACATAAATCCATCCTGTTTGTCATACTTATACTTCAACACAGAAAAGCCAAAAGAAATAATATAAGCAAATATCACAGTTCATTTGCGGCCAATATTTGACCAATGTTCCCCAAAAGCGTACCAACTTACAAACAAATAATAATCTTGTAACCAACTGTATAATATATACGATTTCAAATAAACAATATTCAATTCAACAGACGATTTGGTATTGAAATACGATCTCTATACCACATGATATAAAGTTGTAAATCAATTTTCAATAGATAGCGCGAAAATTTTGAAAAAAGAATTCACTATTGCAACGTCACCGCAATCTAATTTACTCGTCAAATAAAAAAGTACTTTAATTAATGAAGATAAGATTCAATTTTGTACGCACGTTTATTTCAAACAGGGGGTTTGATAAGCCGTAGGCCTATTTGTGTCGGTTTCACACTTACAACAATAGTGTCATGATTCGTGATCCCGGATTATCCGGGAACAATCCCGGGATTACGTCCCGTTGCGGGAAACAAATGGAGTCGGCTAACGAGTGGAGGAACAAGTGTTCATACTAATAGGGTGTTCGTATTTCTAATTGTATTTATTTTTGCGCGGTTTTACATAAATCGCAGAACAATTGGGGCGATACAACAATATGAAAGGAAATTCAACTGCCAGGTTTTTAAAAAGAGGTCTTAAATGCAAGCGCACGAAACTTATGATTGAAAAACTAAGAAGCTGGTACTAGACCCTTGAAACTGAACTCAGTAGCTATCTGGCTTCAGAAACATCCTCAAACACAACGAATAGCACAAACCGTTTTATTTAATCACGGAACAAAGTAACTAAAAGCAGCAGCCTATACAACCAATAACTCAAGATATCGAACTCAACCTCCCAAGTTTAACAGCCACACAACCAACAGCAAAACAATACAATACAAACACCTGTGCAACACTTAAACCAAATACAATACCTTTTAATCCTATTGTTAGAACGTGACATATTGTATTTACGAAAACAAATTACCCGCTTACCCGCCAACACACTCAACATAAACCAACATAACCTGAACTCCCACCCCTTTCACAATACCAAACATTGTCACAGTAATTAGAACTGGTTGAGAGGTCTTGTTATATTGGTGACTCGTCACAAGTTATGTGGTAAGGTGAATGGGACAATTATGGCGGTTAATGTAACTATAGTTCGAAGACTGAGCCATGATTAAGTGTTAAGGTAAATCGTTGAGTTGTTATTAAGATAATTTGTATATTAGCGGTTTGAATGTGGTTATAACTATGTAGTTTTGGGGAAAAAAGGCTTAGGTACTTTTGTTCGACCAATTAAGACACTGCTTGGCTCTGATATCGATTTAAAAATTGGAAAAATACTTTTTAAAGGGGGTAATCATCAAATGGATTCTCATGCCTTGGGTGGCGCGACATTGTCAAACTCTTATTGAGTAAAAACCATTCCTCAACCCTGGCTTAACATCAGTCCCACATCATCTTTACATTCAAAAGGGCTTATGTTCAACCAGGGTTGTGAGGTAAGCGCAGTAAGGTATCTGGAGCAGAAGAAGGAACGGAAGAGGTTTTTAGTCAACATGAGTCTGGCACTCCCGCTCACCATACCATTGGCGGTACTCTCATATTCCTCCCATAAAAAAGGGGTTTAGGGATTAAGGAAAGTTGGGGGTAGCGAAAGGATTGAGCCTCTGGTGACATCACTCATATGGCGAAACACAACCCTATGGTTGTTTCACGCCGGTTTCCTGTGAGGTCGTGTTATCACTTCGGTCGAAGGGTGGCTATCCCACACTTAAACGAGTATAATTCTAAAGGGTTAAAAGTCTTTACATAAACAAACAATGAAATAAACCTTTTTCTTTACAAAAACACCAGCATAACCATTACAAACGAAAAAATCTAACATTCACCCACAAATCCCTTTATTTACTCCACGGAAAAGATAAAATAAATTCCCATCCGATTTTCCATTACGGTCTGTCTGCTGAAACCGCTAACGATTTGAGCGTCCGATTCTTTACGCTCTTCTTGCACACGGGAAACTGTATATGTCTATCTTTTTCCCACTCTAGTGTGAAATCAGTCCGACAAATTAAATCCCGCCTCAGATTATTACATAGCTCAGTGAATGTTCATAAATAACCCGTAGGGAGGAACGCGGGAAATGTACTGAACGCACTAGTTACAATGGCGGGGTTATTTGAATTTAGAATGTTTAAAAAAATGCGTCGTCTTTATTGCAGAATTGTAACAGCCAGGACTATTTTGAAAGAAAAAGTTTTGACATAATTTATTTGAATTTGGAAATGATGAACTTATTAAGTAGGTAAGTATGAATGAATGAATGAATGAATGAATGAATGAATATACTTTATTGTACACCATAATAATAAAAAACATAGGAAACAAAAACACAAAATATAGTACAATTGGCGGTCTTATCGCTTAAAAGCAATTTCTTCCAGACAACCTTTGGATGAAGTTTAACTGTAGAAGAATTTGATATTGATTGTAAGTATTTACAATATTAAAGGCTGATTTTTCAATAGACAGATAAATGTTATCTTAGGAATAAAATTGTTGCTGTCACTGTTTTATACAAACATTGTGACGCGACAGCATGTTAATAATTCCCCAGGTAACTTTTATCTAACAATTGAAAAATCAGCCCTAATTCAAGTGTCATGACTAGGTCAATATCGGAAACCTGGGATTTATCAAGACCCACTACTCGACAGTCTTATAGGTACTTGTAACATGTGTTACAGTTTTAAAATAAGAATATTTGTTTAAACCAAACGAGTTTTGAGATATCTGCTGTCTGCTAAGTCTGTTTTGCATAAAAGACTAATCAACTTCAACTATTGTCAATGTGTTGAATTCTATTCAGTCCAGAAATACTTAATGTTATTCAATAGGTACATTTATTTAGTGCCTTCGAATCTTCGTTAAAAAAAATACTTATTATGGA